TCACATGCAGAGTTATATAAAGCAGAACTAGCAATACAGTGATAAAAAACTAGCAAGAGTAAGCATGCAGGTATAAGTATATAGATCACAGTACAAGCAAAGTCAAGACGTGAGCAAGTCAGGCCAAGTAGGAACAAGGCCTAGAACAGTACAGAAACGCTGATGATCACAAGGCTGAAGTGCCTTGGTGAAGATATCAGCAGTGTTGGCCCGAGAGGCCACGTAAGTAAGATGAAGCTGTCCACGCTGCTGCAACTCTCGAGCAAGGAAGTAACGCAGAGCGATGTGCTTCGTCCTGTGCTCCAGTCTGTGCTCCAGAACTCGTCGAGCAGGTTACCCGGTCGACCTGGTCGACCACCAGGTGCTTCCGGTCGACCACCACTGCCTCTGGTCGACCACCGGGTCCCTCCGGTCGACCACCAGATCCCTCTCGTCGACCACAGCTCTCGTCGAGCTACACCCTGGTCGACGGACCCCTTCCGTCGACCAGAACCGTCAGCGGCTGTCGCCGAGCTCCCCTCGTCGACCGCTGCTCACTTATCAGGTCGACGGACTGCTCCGTCGACCTCCCGGTCGAACTGCAGGTCGACGGACTGCTTCCGGTCGAGCTGCCCCTCCTGGTCGACGGCCCACCCGTCGCCCAGACCAGCCAGTTGCAGCTGTCGAGCTCCCTGGTCGACATCAACACTACAGAGGTCCCCTGCAGCTCGACGATGCTTGTCGAGCAGCTCTCCCACTGTGAACGGTCGGCTGCTACTCCCGTACATCCGACCAAGTCGTCGGCGTTGCCCAAGCGAGGGCGGGGCCAACACCCCATTCCCGTTAACAGCGGGCAGGGCAGGGCGCTCAGCAGCGGGCGGCGCGCGGGCAAGGCAGGGCGGCGCGGCACTAACAGGGCGGCGCGAATCGTGGGGTAGCGCGGTTCGGTGGGCCCTAAAAAAAAGAACCGGTCCTAGGCTAGGACCTGCTCTGAAACCATGTCAGCAGAATGAACGAGGATGATGAACTAGCAGCATGCAGGGGTACAAGTGGGAAACCCTAATTGGGCTGTACCCCATATGGGCTACCCCACTACAGCCTAAATAACATGCAGCATATATAGTTTGACAACTAGTACATGTGCGCTGCCTCGTTATGAGGCAGTGCGCTAAGGAGAACCTTCGGAAATGTTATAATAACCTTTCGGTTATTCCAACAGACATGAATGCGGATACGGACACTTGCATCTGTTTTGGAGATCGATCGTGCAGATCCGCTACGACAGTGGAAACCTGCTATTTAATATGATATTTTCAAAACCCGTCAAAAAACGAACATGCGTAGGGTAGATCAAGCAAATGTGGTTAGAGTGTCCGCGTCCTAAGGGCGGGTCAAATTTTGCACATGTACGGTTAATTTTCAGCTCAGTTACCAAAATTAAGCATGTAACAGAACTTTTAACGTAAGAAATTCGCTTGACGCGAGACTTTACATAAATCAGCTCATTTCGGAAACGTGCCCCGGGACGTGCGGAACACATCCGAAGGTTCGTCTCCCAACTCGCTTCCCGTCAAAGTCATCAAACAGTAACGCCCGATTTTTGCCAAACCCTTTCGCCATTATATTAATCCCTTCACCCTAAATGAGGAAACCCTCGTAACATTTGGTAATGTCAGAATGTTATTGTTCTCTAGCCTGCAGTGGGGTACTCTATAGCGAGTACAACCCCCTAGGGTTTCCTATATGTATCCTGCTGCTTTCTAGTGAACATCCTCCTTTGTTTATTCTCTCTTGCCTAGCTAGGGCTTACCTAGCTATGGCTCCTACTCATTCCTCGTTTCATTTTCACATGGTATCAGAGCACTCACGCTCTTGGCCTGTGGGCCCTACTGCTGCTTCCGCTGCTACTCTGTGTGTTGCACGCCCCGTGGCGTGCGACGGATTTCTCTTCCCGCCGCGCGCTCGGAGCGTGCGGCGGTTTTCTGCCCGCCGTGCGCCCCGAGGCGCGCGGCGGTTTTCTGCCCGCCGTGCGCCCCGGGGCGTGCGGCGGTTCTCTGCCCGCCGTGCGCCCCGAGGCGCGCGGCGGCCTTCTGCCCCGTCGGTCCGCACGTCGCCCCCGGGGGGCGCTTCGACGGGCGACGGGGACCAGCCCGTCGTCCCCCGTCGCCCGTCCTGGCCAGCGCGGGTTGCGCCAGCCCCGAGCGCGGCCCGTATGGGCTGCGCCCGGCCCGCGCGCGGCCCGTACGGGCTGCGCCAGGCCCGCGCGCGGCCCGTACGGGCTGCGCCAGGCCCGCGCGCGGCCCGTACGGGCTGCGCCAGGCCCGCGCGCGGCTCGGGCCGCCTGCGCGCGGTTCGTCGGGCTGTGCCAGGCCCGTGGGCGGCCCGTTCCTCTCTGTCCCTGAGCTGCTCGCTGTCCCCCGTGCTTCTGACGGTGCCCCACCCCTACTGCTGCCCGTTCTCCTGAATTAGGGTTTGGGGGTGAGGAGTGTGGGGGTGGCGGTTGTGTGTTACTCCCCTTGCTCCTCCTCCTCCCTGGTCTCCCACTGCTGCAGCTGCCGCTGAGGGGGGTGGGTGTGTGGGAGCCTAGGGTTTAGGGTTTAAGGGGGGTGCTGTAGGAGTGGAGTTAGGGGTTCAGCAGGGGGTGTGTGTCGAGGGTGTGGGGCAGTTGGAGGAGGTTGTGTGGAGGTAGCGGTCGTGTCGCCTGCAGCGCCTGTAGTCCGTCGCCCTTGCTTCGGTAGCCAGTGAGCCTGTTGCACCAGTCGCCAGTGGGTCTGTTGTTCCTACCGCTCGTCTATAGCCGCGGAGCCAGTTACTCCAGTAGTCCGTCGCCCTTGCTTCGGTAGCCACTGAGTCAGCCGCTCCTGTGCCCGTGCCTCTGCAGCTTCAGTCGTTGCCTCCCATCTTCTCTCCTTCCACAGTTCCTCCTCCTCCTCACTTGCCCTCTGCGACTGCCCCTAGCTTTACTTGTGCATGTGAACCTGCTCTAGGACTACTTGCTCTGCTGATTATACCCCACTTTGACTATGGGGGTGTGTCAGAATGTTATTGTTCTCTAGCCTGCAGTGGGGTACTCTATAGCGAGTACAACCCCCTAGGGTTTCCTATATGTATCCTGCTGCTTTCTAGTGAACATCCTCCTTTGCTTATTCTCTCTTGCCTAGCTAGGGCTTACCTAGCTATGGCTCCTACTCATTCCTCGTTTCATTTTCACAGGTAACTCTCCTTCCCATGTACTGTACCTCGCAACGTTAATGTACCTCGTCAAAAGTCCGCAGTGTACACTCCGAATTGGATAGGAAACGTTAGGAGTATGCCCTGGGGTACAGTCAAATTTGACAACTGTGTTGACGTAAAAATAACGACAAAAACGAGAGTGTACAAAGTTGGACCCGCCCTAATCATTGCATTCCGTGGCAGTATGCCCACGAAGGAAAAACGGTGTGGGAGTGAGCTTTGGGAGGAGGGCACTCGTGGGGTCTCGAAGTTGGGGCCATTTTCAACGGCATTCAACTTATGCTAGTGCGATTATGCAGATGCATACAATAGACGGCCGTAGGGGAAAGAGGGTGACGGACTGTTATCTGCCCGCGGTCAGAAAAAAATAAATCCCATCTGGATGGCATGCGACTGGGGGAGCCTCAACCCTAAACACGGGTAACCGCATGGTTTTGCCGGCAGGCCGACATTTTCCCCTGAAACGTCAATTGCATGCATTTGCAAACTAGCACTAGCAAAATCTGCATGCATTAGGTAAAAGCCGCTCGAAGTTGGTTCTTGGCAAGCCATAACCTTTCCGACCGACGCTGGCCTGGTGTTGCACTTCTGTGTGTTGCAGGTTGGTTGTCTCTGTGCAGCCGAACAGAGCCTGTCAGCGAGTAGTGCGAAAACCAGTTTTGTTGCGAGCTCCTCCTCGTGCTTGACGAAACGCTCGACCGACACTCGTTGATTCACAACAACGTGTTCCCGCCTTTCGTTGACCCTCACCTCACACAGGAGAGATCACTGGAAACGAATTTTGCTACAGCGCCCGCGAACACGCCGGCAACCTGTCGAGAACCAAACAAGCTCCCAAGGCTGAAACCCTAGGCTGCTACCCTACCAAACCTCCCTAGGCTGGAATTCTAGCGAAGCTCGACGCAGTTTCCTAGATACTTCCGGAGCTTCCTAATATTCCTTATAAGGACAATTGCTGACGCGTGGCGTCTACCGTAAGCGCGCTTCGATCGTGGCCCGCTTTTCGTGCGACTTTCGAGGTTATTTTTGAACCCATTCTATTAGGTATGCTGGAATGATAATCAGTCATAGCGATTGATGATACCTGGCCAGCGTTTTGACACGCTATCGCTAAGTTCAAGCGCTATCGCGATGTGTCAGGTGGTCGATATTGACTGCCACGTGACGTCGTCGTTTTGCATCTGCCATCCCATTCTCCCATCCGCATCTCATCCATTCTCTCACCCTCATCTCCTCCCGTCCGCCCATCCTCATCTCCTCCCCTTCTCCCTTCCGCATCTCCCCACGTCCTCCCATCATCATTTTCTCCTGTTTCCCCTTCCCCTTCTCTCGTCCGCCCATCCTCATCTCCTCCCCTTCTCCCGTCCGCCCATCCTCATCTCCTCCCCTTCTCCCGTCCGCCCATACTCTCTTCCCCCATTGCTCTCTTTCTTTCCCCCTGATCACTCTATCCCCCCCTAATCACTCTATTCCCCCCTTATCATTCTCTTCCCCCTTCTCACCCTCTTCCCTCTTAATCACTCTCTCCCACCTGCTAACTCTCTTCCCCTCTCCACCCACTCTTCCCCCCGTGGTCACTCCCTATCCCCCTGTCCACTCTGTCCTTACCTCCAGGCTCGTCACATCCAGGCTTGTCACATCCAGGCTCGTCACATCCAGGCTCGTCACAGGCTCGTCACATCCAGATTCCAGGCTCGTCACATCCAGGCTCGTCACATCCAGGCTCGTCACATCTAGGCTCGTCACAGCCAGGCTCGTCACAGCCAGGGTTCCTGCCGCTAGTTGAAATGCAAGCTTCAGCCCGGGTCGGACCGACTGGCACAGCAGTGACCTGTGAGACGAGTCTTCTTTGCCACGATGAGACCACGCTGTTGGAATACAGTTACGTGCCTGGCAATGGCAATGCTGCTGTATTTCGCACCCCCATCGCCATCGGCAGTCAATTGCCGCCATCGCACCCTCACACCCCCGTCGGCTCTTTTGCCAACCCTCCACGCCCACCCTTTGCCGATCCTCCACACCCACCCTTTGCCGATCCTCCACGCCCACCCTTTCCCAACCCTCCACGCCCACCCTTTGCCGACCCTCCACGTCCGCCCTTTGCCAACCCTCCACGCCCACCCTTTCCCAACCCTCCACGCCCACCCTTTGCCGACCCTCCACGTCCGCCCTTTGCCGACCCTCCGCGCCCTCCTCTGCCGCCCAACGGCTCTATTCCCAGTGAGCCCCCTACTGCAAGTAGAGGCCCAGCTAGAACCACCACCGCTGGCACAAGATCAAGCGCAAAGTGGGACGACGATCTCACAGCGGACCTTCTCCGCTGTGTCATAGCAGCCATGCGGGATGCAGGCAGGGCTACCTTTGCCAAAGTGCAGTGCTGGGATGCTGTGTTCGCCCGATGGAATGCTCAGCATGCCGACCTCAACTTCACAGAATCGCAGCTGCGAAACCGGCTCAACGCGGTGAAGGCGTGGGTGAAAGACATCAGGCAACTCAAGTCAAGGGTCCGCCCGGGAGTGACTTGGAACCCCGCTACCGATCGCTTCGACCCGCATTCCATGGTAAGCCCCCCAGGCCGCGCTGCCTGCCTGTCTGTCTCCTTCCTTGTGTTGACAGTGACTCTCAAAGAGGGCATTTAAATATTTGTACCTCCCACTCTCCTCCCATTCCCTTATGGTGCAGGTTCGTGATACTGATAATATCACGAAGCATGGCAAATGGGATGATTATAAACGGTGGGTCTACCACACCGCACCGTGGCTTAGCCTTGGCGAGCAGGTTGTACCCAAATCCAGGTCCCGTGGCAGCAGCTACGCATTGGCGACAGGGGATGGCGACAGGTATGACTCTGACGGCCCAGGTGGAGACGACCCCTCGAGTGGGGATGAAGTGGCGGATGCAGCGTATAATAGAGGCCGGCAGCGCCGCCGGCTGGGACTTGAGCAGAGCAGTCCTCACCCGTCTGTGCCTTCAATGGCCACCAGATCCCATCCTCCTGCATCCGCATCCCCACCCCCCGCTCCTGCAGCATCCCCCATTCCCCCACACGCTGCATCCCCACCCCCCGCTCCTGCTGCAAGCCCCACTACCGCACCCGCTGCACTCCCGTCCATTGCAAGTAGAGACCCAGCTAGAACCACCGTCCATAGCACAAGGTCTTTCCCAATGTGGAACGATGACCTCACAGCCGACCTCCTCCGCTGTGTCATAGCGGCCATGCAGGATGCAGGCAGGGCTCCCTTTGGCAAAGTGCAGTGCTGGGATGCTGTGTTCGCCCGGTGGAATGCCCAGCATGTCGATTTGAACTTCACGGAAGCGCAGCTGCGAAACCGGCTCAACGCGGTGAAGGCGTGGGTGAAAGACATCAGGGAACTCAAGTCGTGGGTTCGAGAAGGTGTGAACTGGGACCCTGCACGCGACTTCTTCGACCCGAGTACCATGGTAAGCTGGAGTAGACATGGGCGGGCGGGTGACCCGACCCGACCCGACCCGACCTGAGTACTATGGTAAGTTGGAGTCATTTTTTAGAATTCTCAAAAAGTAAGCATCCTAGGCGCTGCCTGTCTCCTTGTGCTGACATTGAATTACAACTTGGAGACGGCGGTTGAGTTTTTTTACACACCCTCTCCTCCCCATTCCCGTATCATGCAGGTTCGTGATCTCGATATCCCTCCGCGTAAATGGGATGATTTTAAACGGTGGCTCACCCACACCGCACCGTGGCTTAGCCTTGGCGAGCAGGTGTCTCGTCATGGTAGCCACGCATGCACCACCACAGGGGATGGCGACAGGTATTACTCAGACGACCCGGGTGAATACGACCTCTCGAGTGGGGATGATGAGGCGGATGCAGCGTACACTAGAGGTCGGCAGCGCCGCCGCCCGGCACTTGAAAACAGCAGTCCGCACCAGTCTGCTGCTGCAGCAGCAAGCCCCAATCCCGCACCCGCAGCATCCCCTGATCGCGCACAGCCCGCCCTCCCCCCTTATGCCTTCCCCTCGCCCTCCCTCCATCCGCCCCCCCTTGATCTCCCCGTCCCCCCCTCGCACGCGAACACCTACGAGCTTGGGTTGCTGGGCAATGGATCGACAGGGACAGGTACAGGCGCGGGCGTGGGCACGGGCACAGGTACAGACGCGGGGTTGCGCGAACGGCGGGAGCGGTGGGAACAGGCATTGAAAAGCGGCAAGTGGCGGCCGATGTGGGACAACGAGCAGACAACAGCTCTTTTGGAGATCATTCGCGACGTGCTGCGCGCTCAGGGCACCCCTCTCCCCGGCAGGATCGAGGACTGGGGGGCGGTGCACCGCGAGTGGTTGAGGCGGGGGTTACCACGGTACTCAAAGGAGCAGTTGAGAATTCGGTGCAGTTCGGTGCGCGGGTGGGTGAAGGATATTCAGTTTCTGCAGGAGCTGCTACCGCCTGAAGTCACCTGGGACCCCACCACTCAGCCCTTCAACCCCGACCCCGAGGTGAGATGGTGAGAGGGCGATGTGAAGTGGTGAGAGAGCCCGAGGTGAGAGGAAGTGGTGAGAGGGAGAGGTGAGAGAGCTCAAGGTGCGATGTGGTTTGTCCCCCACCCAAAGGTGGTCTGTACTTTAGCGTCTACCACCCTCCTTTGCCTCCTCCGCCTCCTCCGCCTTCTCCGCCTCCCCTCTCTCTCACGGAAGCCCCGCACGGCAACGACCACACTCCTCCCCCCTCCCTTCACTCCGTTGCTCCTATCCCGCTTACCCCCCTTTCCCCGCTCCCTCCACCCCCCCACCGCCCTTCTTCAGCTGGGCATCAGCCTGTGGCTGAAACAACATGGGCAGTGGGAGCACTACAGGCGGTGGTGCAAGCACACGGCGCCCTGGCTGCCCCTCGCTCTGCTCAACGCCCACACTTGCCCTGCTGAGGTTGAGTGGGAGGAGGAGGACGAGGAGGAGGCGGATTGGGGAGAAGGGGAGGGAGAGGAGGAGGATGTGGAAGAGGAGGAAGATGAAGTGGTGGAGGTGCGGGCAGGTGGGGAGGGGAATGGGGAGGCGGAGGAGGAGGCTGAGGAGGTGGAGCGGGGAGAGGGATGGGGCGATGGGAGCCGAGTGCGGCGAGTGGCAGGGAGGTATAGTGATGGATCAGGAAGGAATGTGCGGCGGCGGGGAGACAGAGAGGGGGTGGAGGCACGGGGGCCGAGTGGAGAGCGGTGGAGGGGTGGAGAGTTGGATGGTGATGAGTGGTTGGGGACGTGGAGGATGGATGCGTTGCAACAGGCTGCACAGGGAGGGGGTGTGAGGAGCAGAGAGGGACGAGAGGGTGTGGAAGGGCGTGGGGTTGGGAGTGGCGGGGGCGGGGCTGCACAGGGGAATGGTGGAGTCGACTGTGCAGCTGACGCTCCGCGGGTCAATGGTGTTCCGCGTGCTGACGTGGCTCGTGCTGATGGGACTGGTGGTGCGAGTGCGGATGAGAGGGACGAGTACCCTGCGAGGCTGGCAGCGCGGATCGCTGGCATGGCGGCGAGCAGGAGGGAGCAAGGGGATGGAAGAGGAGGAAACGCAAATGCATGGCGCGGGGTTGGAGCTCCTGAGGGACAGAATAGGGGGGAGGAGAGGCAGGGAGGGGGGCGAGAGGAGGAGGGGAGAAGGGGGAGGGGTGTGAAGCGGTCGAGGCCGGTGTGGGTGCAGGTGAGGGAGAGGAAGCGGCAGCGGCGGGTGATGGAGAGTGTGGCGCGTGCCCTGATTGTGTTCCGGGGCAAGGCGAAGAAGGGGCAGACACACGTGTACCGAGGTAGGTGATGCTGATGCCACACGTGCATAGAGGTGTGTGGGGGGATGGGATGGGATGGGATGGGATGGGACGGGACGGGACGGGACGGGACAGGACGTGACGTGAGGTGATGTGATGTGACGTGACGTGACGTGACGTGACGTGACGTGACGTGAGGTGAGGTGAGGTGTTGTGATGTGATGTGATGTGATGTGATGTGATGTGATGTGATGTGATGTGATGTGACGTGACGTGACGTGACGTGACGTGACGTGACGTGAGGTGAGGTGACGTGACGTGACGTGACGTGACGTGACGTGACGTGACGTGACGTGACGTGACGTGACGTGACGTGATGTGATGTGATGTGATGTGACATGTGCACAGTGGTATGGTATGAGAAAGTAACAGCCTTACTTAGTATGCCCGCATGCATGAATGTTTTGAGGAAAATGTCATATGTGCTGATAATAGTATTATTACTCAACGTGGTACTACTGATTCACCCTCCGCCTACTGCCTTCCCACCCATCCCTCTTTCCCTCCCGTTCACAGTCAGACGCAGTGGCAGACAGTGTGTTTACAATACCCCCTACCCTCCCATTCATCTTCCCCTCCTTCACCTGCAGACGCGGTGGCGGACATGCAGGTCAGTGCAGGACATGCAGGCGCTCATTACAGCCTTCTCCCCCTTCCCCTCCCCCTTCCCCTCCCCCTTCCCCTCCCCCTTCCCCTCCCTCTTCCCCACCAGACGCGGTGGCGGACAGTGTGTTCAAGTTAGTGCAGGACGTGCAAATATTGCCCTCATTCTTACTCCCTTTCCACCCACCTTCTTTCCTCCCTCTCTCCCCCCCCCCCTTTTCCACCACCAGACGCGGTGGCGGACACCCTTCTGGCTCACTGTTCTCACCACACCCCCTTCCCCCCCCGCCCCACCCTCCACCAGACGTGGTGACAGACGCTGTGTCCAGTGTGGTGAAGGTGGTGCAGGACACCCTTCTGGCAGACGGTGTGTCCAAGTCGGTGCAGGGTGTCTCCTCTCAAGCTCCTTCTGAGCCATCTGACAACGCAGCTTTGGCCTCGCCTTCTCTCCCCTCCCCCTTTCACCACCAGACGCGGTTGCGGACAGCGTGGTGAAGGCGGTGCAGGACGTGCAGGCGCTGCCCTCCCTGACGGACGAGCAGCGCGTGGCGGCCATCGATGCCTTCTTGCAGCGCCCCCTCGATGCCCACGCCTTCAACGCCATGCGCCCCGCCCTGCAGACCCTCTTTGCTCTGCGTGCTCACGCCCAGGCCGTTGACCGGCAGCTGGCAGGGATTCAAGCTGCTGCTGCTGCTGCTGCTGGGGGGGGAGATGGGGCGCTCACAGACCAGCTCCTTGCCCCGCTGGCCGGCGTGCAGGCAGCCTCTGCTGCTGGAGGGGATTCGCCCCTGACTGACCAGCTCCTTGCCCCTCTGCAGGGCGTGGCTGCCGGTGTTGGGGTAGCGAGGGGGGAAGTGGCGAGCGGAGCGGGGATGGGGGGGTTGGGTGGGGTGGGGGATGTGGCGGGGATGGGCGCAGGGGGGGTGGGATTTGGGGGGAACGGGGTGGGGGGGATGGCGACAACGGGTGTGGGAGCAGCAGGGATCGGAACAGCAGGGATGGGAACAGCAGGGGTGGGAGTGAGAAGCATGTGGATGGCTGAAACTCGTAGAGGGGGAATGGGATCGGGGATAACTCGGATGGGGGAAACAGGGTTCGGTTGGAGGGGTTTGGGAACGGTAGGAGAAACGGGAGCGGAGATGGCAGAAGGTGGGAGTGTGGGTGTGGGAATGGCAGCAGCGGCAGTAGCAGCGGCCTCAGCAGGAGGAGCGAGGGGTGTACAGGGTGTGGGCGGGGGAGGAGGAGGGCCTGGGGTGGGAGGAGGCGGAGGGGTAGGAGGGGCAGAGGGGGTAGGAGAAGCAGCTGGGGCAGCAGGAGCAGCTGGGTTGGGTGGCACAAGTACGTTGGGCAACGTAGGTGGGACGGGCGGCACAGGTGGGTTGGGCGGTACACAAGGGGCGGGCAGCACGGCAGGGCTGCAGCTGCTGGGGCATCGCGTGCAGGAGTTTCTGCGACAGAACCTGGGAGCAGTCAACGCCAGTCAAGGGGCAGTCAATGCTGGTCAAGGGGGGGTGGCTGGTACTCCAGTGGTGGTCAACGGAATCCAATGCGAGTGCCCTGAGTGTGTGGCTGCTAGAATGCGTCAAGGCACAGTCAACGCAAGTCAACAGATGGCCAGTACGGATCAACAGGCAGTGAATGCTGGTCAAGGGGCAGTCAATGCTGGTCAAGGGGCAGTCAATGCTGGTCAAGGGGGGGTGGCTGGCACTCCAGTGGTGGTCAATGAGCATCAACGCGAGTGCCCTGAGTGTGTGGCTGCTAAATTGGCGGCCAGTATGCGGCAAAGGGCTGTTAATGGGAGTCAACCAGTGGTCAATGCGAGTCAACCAGTGGTCAATGCGAGTCAACCAGTGGTCAATGCGAGTCAAACAGTGGTCAATGCGGATCCGACGAAGAGAGTGGCAGCGAATCAGGCGGAGACAGCTGTCGGCGAATTAGGGTTCGGTGCAGGTCGTGTGGGGACGGCTGCTGTGCTACAGACAAGAAATGGTGGTCCATCTCCAGTCAACGCTGGTCAAGCACCAGTCAACGCTGGTCAAGAAACAAGAATTGCCGGTGAAGGAGAAGACAATGCAGGTCAAGGGGTGGTCAATGCAGGTCAAGGTGGGGAGTTGAGTAGTGAGGAAGAGAATTTGAGTGCTGGATGGGATACGAGTGAGGGCGAGGAGTTGAGTGAGGGGGAGGAGTTGAGTGAGGAGGAGTTGAGTGAGGGAAGGGGAATTGTGTGTGTGAGGGACAATGGAGCTATTGCGTATGAAGCGGGGGCACTTGAGAATGAGGGATTGTGGCACGTCTGAGGGGGAAGAGTGTGTGAGGGGGGAGGGGGAGTGGACATGGATCGGGGATGAGGGGACATGCCTTTGAGTGGAGGAGACTCTAATGGAAAGGAAGGAGAGACGAGGGGAGAAGGGTACGCAAGGAGACAAGTAGAAACCGAAGGATGCATGAGCGTGGGGCAGGTGAGGTGCAAGTGGTTGCATGGACAAGCCGGGAAGGTCAGCCATGTGTTTATAAACGCGCTGGACACGCACTAAAGGGGGAGATATTCTGGTGACGTAATTTGTGAACTTGTCGACGATGGGCAACCTCCATGGCCCGCCATCAGTTGCACATGGACAAGTGTTTCTATGTTGGCACTGCTTTGCTGTTTATAATTTGCTGTCATAAAATAAAACAATAAACAAGTATTAACCTAACAACCATCAACCACTGGAAATTTACAAAATGCCTACCGCACTGGCCCTGAATTCGAATTGCGTGCCCACCCAAAAACGTTCATGCAGCTGTGCAACTACCAGTACTAATACCGTATGCTAAAACAATTCAATTCACTCTACTAAGCTTGAAAAGGAAATCAAACGAATCATTTCAGTCATACGGTCACCTCCCACACGCGAGGTCATTGTACAGTGGACCCTCCTTCCACATTGCAAAGGTCACCGAACCCGGATCATGGTGCCCTCCGCGACGGGGTCCCTGCGGCGGCAACTGTTGTTGAGCGCCGCGAATCGGAACTGCTTGCCTTCATAGTACTGCTTCAGCTACACGCTGCACGACTCGCCGCGCGTCTGGTAGTATTCTGCCAGATCTCGATGTGTCTTCCTCCCCGCCGTTAGCGGAACTGGGTTACCGAGAAAAAAAAAAATGATGAGTAGCTGAGGTTCCAATAGGTCAGCATAACAGGAAAGTAGGTTCCAAGGCCTGAGAGAAACGGGGTAGCTGCTTTGAAATGGGGGCGACATTGAATCTGCTCGCTATCCAGGCGGAAGGGGCGCAACTCACCGTGGGAAACGAGGAGAAGAGCCAGTGCCAACACCAGCATGGTACGGACAACATTCATGAGCCTTGCCATAAGCACGCCGTAGGACTGGATCGAGAGGAAGATGAGGCACCAAGAGAGTGAATAACAATAACGATGAGCTCCAAAATTCAGAGAGAACTAGCGAAAACGCATCAAGAGAGTTTAGGTGGAGGAATGATGCTGAGAGGACGAGATGGGCTGGAAGAGTACAACCAATAACCTAGTTTCGACGCCTCTAGGAAGAAGCGAGTCGCTTCCTCCATCCGCTCCTCGTGGGTGGCACGAGACGACGATGCTGCTGTGCCCGCATCGAATCATGGAGGACGAGGATAGCATCCGTACGACTTTCGAGTCGCAGCTTCCGATTGGACAGTACAACTCGCAGGCCCCATCCGTACGACTGCTTGACAAATCTGACTCGCCTCCAGCATTATAGAGAGAACGAGCGGGAATTGGTCGGCGTGTGATGTGTTGTGACTTGTGAGCTACCGTAACTGGTAGGAAAAACTAGTAGGTGAGGCCGTCAGCACGCAAACTTGAAAGCCGGATCCCAACGGTGCAAGTCTAACGATGGGATTTCAAGATGGATCTAGCACGGGAGAAAGGTTCCAAGCCATGTTTTTAAGCCTAACCGCGCTGCAACGCTGGAGAGCTATCCAGAGCTGAGCTGTATTCCGAAGTTGCATGCCGAACGACGCCCGCATATCGTTCAGGCAGGCTCGGTTATGTTGATCGACCGATAGCCCAACATGATGAATTGGCCCGAGCCGCTCTGTAACAGTGTCCAACCTTCTCAACCAACTCTGCTAAAAAAAAAGAAGTAACGGTGTAATATGAGCTGTTGAAACAGATCACAAGAACAAACGGGACAGCTTCATTGTTATGAATGAACTTGCAGAGTGTGCAGCTTAATGAATAACGCGAATGTTGAATCATGAATGACGATACACTGAAAGTGACGAGGCCTAAATAGGGGAAAAGCTACATACGCGGGGAGGTCGGGCGAAGATGGCTTGGTCATGTTGCAATTGGAGCGGGGCCGACTCGGGAGTGGTTCGGTGCGACGAAATAGGCCGAACGTGGTGGTCGCGTGTACAGTAAGGATTTACATTTCCTTACATTCATACAAATAGTGTAACACTGGGATAAAACAAGGGAAATTATATGAATGGTCATAAACATGGGATTTATAGCGCATATGGTCACAAGGCTATCACGAACGGTCACAGAATCTAGCGAATATATCACGGATGGTGACGCGCTGGCGGGCTGCCTACTGGCATGCTGGCGGGCGATGGCTCGAAGGCGTCCTGCGGGCTGCGCGGAGGACGGCAGGTGGCGCTAGGGCTGGCAGGATGAACGTAGGGCCCGCGGGCTCTCTAGAGGACGGCATAGGGGCGGGCTAGAGTAGGCTAGGATGGGCAGAACGGAACCACGAAGCCTAACATACTCGATACCATGTTGAAATGAGAGAAAGTGTGAACTAAATGGCATGCATCAGTACAAAAAAGCAGCCCTAACCTAGCCTACCAAGTGTAACAGTAACAACAACAGTTAGGCAGGCCTCATTAGGATGAGAGCTTACTGATGCAACACCACTCAACAAAAAAATAATCGTATGAGCCACCATGTGCATGATTTGGAGCCCGCGTTGACAACTTATGCAATATCTGGCTTCTTAGCAAATTGTAGTATCTGAATGCCCATCGTCGCCGCGCGCTCACGCTTCTCGTCACTATAAAAAATAAAGCGACATTTCATCTGGCCGCCTAAACATCGCAGCGCTGACGCCGCCAATACGCCTTCGGGCGCACCACCAATGCCAATATAAAGATCGATACCTGTTTGATCAGGGCCAGTGTTGTGAATAATGTCGAGTATCTCACCATATAGATCACTTGTGAAGTTGAACAGAAACACTTCAAGCAAGGGTGCGCCATTGTCAAAGGTTGGGCGACGTCCATAGCTGGCGACCCCGTCATAGCGTTGCGGATTGTTGTCTTTTTGGCGACCGACCAAATGGCATAGGGTTGTAATTTTCAATGAGGGATTGTGCAAAATTCCCAACAACATTTGAAAAAAGGGTTCTAAATTTTACATAGAAGGACCACTCCAAACTCGCATATGGCAAGATAAGGATGTTAAGGATAAATATTCTACTGAAATATATGGCGTATACGTCGTATTTCTATGGTATATTCCTCAATTGAAGACACCCTCTTACAATCCTAAACACGACTTAGCCAGGGATCGGCCCAGGGTTGTTCGCAGGTAGTATTGCAGCGGAAGTGTTGACCTCAGGTTAGAGTGAATGTAAATGATTGAGATGATAAAAACATGCAGATATTGAGTTTATATAGGAAATACAGAGGAATGCAAAACACCCTGGACTAGCTATGTACTCTAAGGGGTACAATTCCTTATTACAGCAAATTTCAAAGCGTGCGGCGCGAAAACCCGATTCAAACATGATCTCGCATTTTTTCACGTTGAATGTTTCTGCCTGCACCGGTCTTGATCTGACGGTTGCTGGTGTCGCTTCGCTTCTTCTGATTCCTCGCCTTCATACTCGGTAAGGTTGGCTCTTGTACCATACAGGAATATTCTACTCAAAGAAGTTCATATATCAACACCCCCCTTCATTCCTGTGCGTGTCGAAGGCTGACTCGTTTGAATACTCCGGTAAGGTTGGAGCATTGCCGGTTGTTGACGTGACAGTCGCTAGGTGAGGAAGTCGGCTGCCATCTTGGTGGTCAGGCAGTACGCCAGGTCGACTTTGCCTTAGTCAATTTCATCCTTGATGAAGAAGTATTGCAGTGCAATATACTTTGTGCGGTTGACGAAGCCCCGCTTGTTTGTGATTCTAATTGTCCTCTTGTTATCGCAGTGTAGACGAAAGGTGGGCGAAGTTGGGATTTTTTACTCTTGCAGGAGCTCTTGCAGGTAGAGTCCTTCACGAAATCAGCAATTTCGGCTGATGACAGAGCTATCAACTCCTGTTTCTACGAGTTCCAGGAGATTGGGCCCGTTGGCTCCAGGCGGAAGATGAAGTCGGTTCGTGACCGTCGATTGGCAGGGTCAGCGGCGTGATCTGCGTCCACGTAGCTGGTGAGGTTGAAGGATGTTGTCAGTGTGGAGTAGGAGAGCCTGATGTCAGGAATGGAGACGAAGTAATGTAGGGCGCACTCCAGGTCCAGCTGGTTCTCTGCTACTGGCTTGCGTGAGTACTGTGCCAGTTGGCTAGCGATGTACAAAAGGTCGGGTCGGCAGGTGACTGAGGCGAACAGCAGGCACCCTAGTTGCTGCTGGTACAGTTGGAGTCCTGCGGGTGACAGAGGTTTGTTGTCCGGTTTGTAGTTGGCGCTGGGCGTGCGGTAGGGAGTTGAGAGTGGTGCGGTAGGTAGTTCTCTTAGCTGCTCCGCGTACTTGAAAGCTGACAGATGAATTGCTTCAGACACGTAAGTGATGGAGTCCCAGGAACTGTGTGACTTTATGGTTGATGGTGATGTCAACGCTGTGCCAGGTTCTGCTCGAACTGATTGAGAAGCATATTGCTGGTGCATTTGTACAGCAGGTCGTCAACGTAGACTGTCAGGAGGATGTAGTCGCTGTTGAAGTGGAGGCGGTACATCCCCGGGTCGTGCGGCAACTGCTTAAATCTGATCTCGAGAAAATGTTTGTGCAGATCCTGCTGCTAGAGAGTCGCGGCGCCTGCTTAATGCCGTACAGGGTCTTCTTCAGCTTACAGACCCTTGGGTCACATTCCCCGTAGGTATGTGGCTGGTCTACAAAGATGGTCGCATCGACCAGTGCATATAGAAACGCGTTCTTCACGTTGATATGCCGCAGTGGTAGGTGTATGGCGGCGGCAATAGCGAGTAGAATCCGCACGGAGGTATGTCGGCTGACGGTAGCGAAGGTTTGGTTGATGTCGATCCCGTGGCGCTGGTCGTACCTGCGTACGACCCGCCTTGCCATAAAATGTTCGATAGTCCC